ATGCTGCATATGCATATGCTGCATATGCATACACAGCATGCGGCCGGAGGATCCGGTCCATGAGCCGCTGAAAGGTGGCTGGAGTCCCAAACAACCCGAAAGGAAGCGTTACGAATTGGTGTAATCCAAACGGCGTGGTGAAGGCCGTCTTTTCTTTGGATATTGGTGATAAGGGGATCTGCCAATATCCCTTCGTTAAATCCAGTGTCGAGTAAAATCGAGCAGCACCCAGCCGATCAAGCAATTCATCAACCCGCGGCATTGGATACGCGTCGAACTTCGACACAGCATTCACCTTGCGATAATCCACACAAAACCGGACCGAGCTGTCCGTTATAGGCACTAAAACTATCGGGCTCACCCAATCACTGTTGGATTCCTCTATTACTCCCATATCTAGCATTGCCTCTAATTCAGTCTGAACTAATTTTTTGTGTGTTCAGGCAGCCGATATGGCCGGCTGCGCACCTACCATGCTGGCTCGGTCTCAATGTGGTGCTGAATGAGGTCTGTGCGACCAGGCAAAAGCGAGAACACATCTGCAAACTCGGCTTGCACCTTGGCCACATCAGTGAGTTGGGAGGGCGAGAGGTGATCTCCTCCTGGGGCCAGAGCAAGAGACTGACTTTTGGTGTTCACTTCTGGCCCGAGATCTTCCTCTCCGCTCACCGCCAACATCACTGACTCCGCCTCGCTCCATTTTTTAAGGAGATTGAGATGGTAAATCTGATGTGCTCCGCTCCTGTCTGAGCGCACTACCTCATAATTGAGATCTCCAACTCGCCGTGTGACCTCAAAGAGTCCTTGCCACTTGGCGAGTAATTTGGAACTAGAAGTTGCGAGTAATACGAGTACTTTCTCTCCCGGTGCAAATTCGCTCCCGCTCGCAAAAAATCTGGCTCCCCTGTTGTACAACTGGCTTTGTCTGTCCTAAGCCTGCAACAAATTCTCCATAGAGAGCCGCCCCAAAGTGTGAAGTTTTGTTCTCAGGTCCAGTTCATTCTGAATTTCACTTTTACTGTCCGAAGGTCCATCCTCCCAAGTTTCTCGTAAGACGTCCAACACCCGCGGGGCTGACGTCCGTAGAGAAGCTCAAAGGGGGAAAACCCCGTGGAGGCTTGGGGGACCTCGCGCACGGCAAACAAGAGGGGTTCCAGCCATTTGTCCCAATTTTTGGCGTCTTCGTGAACGAACTTCCGAATCATGGTTTTTAATGTGCGATTAAATCGTTCGACCAGACCGTCTGTTTGTGGGTGATAAATGCTGGTGCAAATCGATTTAATGCCCAAGAGTTCGTAAAGTTCGCGGAGAGTCCGTGACATAAACGCTGTGCCTTGATCGGTGAGAATCTCTTTCGGGATTCCCACCCAGGAGATTAGATGAAACAGGGCCTCCGCTACACTTTTTGCGGAAATGCTGCGGAGGGCCACTGCCTCTGGGTATCGCGTTGCATAGTCCACGAGGACTAATGCAAAGCGATGCCCCCGTGCAGATCGTTCTAATGGCCCGATGAGGTCCATGCCAATTCGTTCGAAGGGGACCTGCATAAGAGGGAGAGGGCACAATGGTGCTTTTGGGGTGGCCGGTGGGTTCACCAGCTGACATTCACGACAAGACGAGCACCACCTGTGCACGTTCTCGGGAATGCCCGACCAGAAAAATCGGGTCTTTAGACGATTCAGTGTTGCTGCTTGCCCCAAATGTCCGGCCATCAGTTTACAGTGAGCCGCCTGGAAAAGCATTTCCCGACGACTTTTTGGTACTAACAATTGGGTTGTATCTTGTTTTGACTGAGTGTCTTGAGTCACTCGATACAACTGGTCTTTTAAAATAGCAAAATATGGATAGGAGAGCGGTCGAGCCGGTTGGAGAAGCTGTCCGTCGATGGAACGGACCTGTTCAAAAGCATTTTTGAGTGTTTCATCTTGGGACTGTTCCAGGGGAAAATCATTGCACTTTGTCAGGGTTCTCCTCTCAACAGCGCTCCGTTCCCCTCTCTCAGTTCCCCTTGGTCCCGGCTCAGCTTCTCCTACCTGTGCGACCTCCCCCCTTTCCCACGCTCTTTCCTCCCAAGAGACACCCACACATAAATGCCCCAATAACACCTTAAAACCTGGCAAATTTGTTCCCAAAATTAGCGGATGTCTGAGGTGCAGTCTAAATGCCACCTCTACTCTATGCTTTTGTCCCCGAAGCCCAATAACACCTTAAAACCTGGCAAATTTGTTCCCAAAATTAGCGGATGTCTTAGGTGCGGTCTAAATGCCACCTCTACTCTATGCTTTTGTCCCCAAAGTTGAATAGCCACCGACATTAAGGGGTAGTTCACCACATCCCCGTGCACGCACCGAACCTTAACCATGCGGCTCTTATCCAATGCCTCCGGTTGAATCAGGCTTTGATGCATTGAGGTTTGGTTGCATCCCAAATCCACCAAAGCCTGATATGTACCCCCCTTAATACTCACGGGTATCTAGTACAGGCCAGCTTGATCGGGGGCAGCCTGCAGGGCGTCCGGGACCCGGATCAGCATCCCCACCTCCATCCCTGGACACGATCAATAAAATGACCTGGGTCCCCGCAACGCCAGCAGGCCGGCCCAGGCCTCCCCGCCGCCCTAGTGGCAGGAAGTGGGTCAAGGAATTGGTGTGGAGAGAGCGGCGGACCGGGAGCTGCCGCCGGCCAGACCCGCCCCCCTGGGCGGCACCCTCGGGGCGGCTGTGGGTTCCGTCCCTGGACCCCCCCCCAGCGGGGTGGGGCTCGTGGAGGAAGATTCCCTCGGGACCTGGGGAAAGGGACAGGTTTGGGGGGAGAGAACACAGGGGAAGGGAGAGAGAGAGAGAGACAGATGGAAGGGGTTCGCCGACCCCGGGGCACGCCACCATTTGGTCCTCCACCAGTTTGATGGCCTGGCTCAGCGACGTCGGGTGGTGGCACTGGACCCACTGGGCAGTCTTCCTCGGCAGCCACGCCACAAACTGCTCCAGTACCACTCGATCGATGATTTCCTCGATGTCACTTGTTTCGGCCATCAGCCATCTGCGGCAGGCGTCCCGGAGCTGTTGCGCCATCACGAAGGGTCGGCCCCCCTCTCCGAGGTCCAGCGACCTGAAGCGCTGGCGGTGCTGCTCGGGGATCCGGCCGACCCGCTAGAGGATGGCGCGCTTGAGGTCCTTGTAGACCAGGAGGTTCTGGACCAGCAGCTGTTGTGCGGCGACCTGCGCTTCCCCCGACAGCAGAGGAATGAGCCGCACTGGCCAGTCCTCCTCGGGCCACCCCCGGCCTCTGCCGACCTCTCAAATAGGTCCAGGAACACCTCCGGGTCATCCTGGGGACCCATCTTGTGGAGAGGCACATGGGTGGGGGGTGCTGGGGCAGATGTAGGTCCCGCAGCCCAAACCTCCCGGTCAATCCAGTTCCGGAACAGCTCGCAGTCTTCCTGCCTGATGGTGCTCCTGGTGAAAACCCACGAGCGATTGAATGACTTCCGCAAATGGCGATCCTGACGGGGACTGCATGACGGCGTCAGCGTTCTTCTTCCTTCCCGGGTTTCGGGACCAGTGTGATAAGGTTCAAGAGGGGGGAAGGAAGAAGACAGGGTCGGCGTGACTGGGACTCGGCAGCAGCTGTTGTGCGGCGACCTGCGCTTCCCCCGACAGCAGAGGAATGAGCCGCACTGGCCAGTCCTCCTCGGGCCACCCCCGGCCTCTGCCGACCTCTCAAATAGGTCCAGGAACACCTCCGGGTCATCCTGGGGACCCATCTTGTGGAGAGGCACATGGGTGGGGGGTGCTGGGGCAGATGTAGGTCCCGCAGCCCAAACCTCCCGGTCAATCCAGTTCCGGAACAGCTCGCGGTCTTCCTGCCTGATGGTGCTCCTGGTGAAAACCCACGAGCGATTGAATGACCTCCGCAAATGGCGATCCTGACGGGGACTGCATGACGGCGTCGGCGTTCTTCTTCCTTCCCGGGTTTCGGGACCAGTGTGATAAGGTTCAAGAGGGGGGAAGGAAGAAGACAGGGTCGGCGTGACTGGGACTCGGGCTTTATTTGAGGTTCTCTGGCACAAACAAAAGAAGTGGTGCCCACTGCGCTTTCAATCACTTATTAAATAATTCAGAATATAAATCTGCATACAATTCCGGCTCCCGCAACCAGTCTCCCCGTGTGGCTCGAGTTCCCAGACAGTCTCTCTCTTTACATGCTCCAGGTGGCCCCTTTTATCCGGTCTCTCCACACCAATTACTGAAACGAGACACAGGTGTTTATCATTTGCGCTTGACCTACTTACGCACCGCTCGTCTCCTGCCTCTCTCTCCCGGTGCAGACCTCGCTGAACCACGCCCCCCTCGCCACAGTGACCCACTGTTCACTTTCTTACGTCTACACTGTCCAGTCAAGTCACAGTCAATGTTTGTCTGGCTAACATGGCCCATTTAGTACCAGCTAGCAGATCTTTTTTTAGGTCAGTGACTTTCATTTGACATTTTTGTTTTCAAATATTTCTAAGCAATATTATAGATGTTTTGTTTTGTTTTGCTTTGGCTTATTTTTGCTTTGCTTTTGCTTTGTTTCACTTTTTTATGTTTTGTTTTATTTTGTTTAGTTTTGTTCCACCACATAACTTTGATCACACTGCATGACTTTCATTTGGCAGACATTTTTGTTTTCAAATATTTAAATACAATATAGATGTTTGTTTTGTCTTTTCTTTTCACATATTTAACTGAGGCCTTTACCATGGCTTGTTTCTTCATTTAAACAGAACATTTGTACCACCATTACACTTTTGACTTTATGCTCCCAAATAATATCAAAATAAAATGTAATTAAGAAATTAAAAACATGCTCCTCATAGAAGGGCTGTATTAAAGTCATTTTATGTATGAATACAATTTTAATGTATTTTTCAAGAGACTATTAGGACAGAAAAATCAGTGTCACATCCTTGACCCATGCCAAAATGTTTCTCCCTTGACGGCCTTTCAAAAGTAGTGTTATCTAACTCTTTTGGAAAAGGAGTGTAGTTAATTATATTCAATGTGCACTTTTAGCATTCTTCAGTTCTTAAAAATATATATTTTTAAAAGTTCTTGAAGATAATATAATATTATTAAAAAAGACCACTTAAGTGTACAAAAAGAGAGACACTTTCTTGACTATGTTTCTTTTAAAAAGTATGACTGTGTAATAATGTCAAATGAAAAAAATTTATTTTAAAGTTAATTTGAAAACATTTAGTTTGAATAATCTTCATTTATTTTGCTGTGTTACATACTAACATACTAAAGCACATGTAAATGATTTGACTGTAAATTTATACACTTCAACCATATGTCCAAGACAATAGAAGTAATTATGACATTTTATGTGAAGATGTACTTATGGCTTACTTAGGCACTATAAAGCTCAGCTAATTGCATTTAATATAAATTTAACCATAGTACATTTTCATTTAATTGCAACTAATGGGCAAAAAAGCTTTAGAGTTCACACTTACATATGTTCTTTTAAAATATATTATTTCCTTAATAAGTACTCTTTTTAAACCTGTGTGCTTCTTTTTCACAAGGTAAAGCTAATTACATGTCTAATAGAAATTGAAAGGGAAAATCAATGCCATCGATTACAGTACTACACTGTGATTTGTGTGTGCAGCTCGAACGCGGATCACTAATCCACCTCAGGACCAGAGCGTGATCAAGGGCACAAAAGCAGCCATGACCTGCGGGGTGACCCATGACCCCAGCGTTACAGTCAGGTACAACCTCCACTCTCCTTAACATATCTTTGTTGTCAACTCTGTCTAAATGTCTATTGTCTTTCTCTTTCTCTCTCTCTCTTTCTGTCCCACCCTGCCTTATCTCACGTTCAATCTTTGATCAATGCTTGCTTGTTCCTTCCATCCCTATCCTGTGTGTTTATTACATTCAGTCTCATAAGACTTGATTTAACTGTCACCTGCTGGGCTGCTGTTATTCATTTGATCAGGGAAAACGGATGAATATGTAAACAAAGCAATAACTTAGATGGAGACTTTAATTAAATGCAAGACAGATGAGATTAAATGGGGAAACGATGTGGCTGCAATTAAGAAGTGTTGATGTGTGTGTATGAGTGCATATATGTGTGCAAACCAATTTTCTGTTGTGTGTATGTGTGTGTGTTTGTTTATTCATTAAGTAAACAGCTTTGCCATGTATTGTTGCTGTGAACAAGAATAAGTAATTAGGCCTCTGTTATTCACAGACACATCTGGGAGAAAGGAGGAGCGGCTATTGACGTGAAATCGAGCCCTCGCTTGCGACTCGACTCCAACGGCACCCTGCATTTATCTCAGACCTGGTCAGGAGACATTGGGACCTACACCTGTAAAGTCACATCTGTGGGAGGCAATGATTCTCGCAACGCTCACCTGAGAGTCAGGTATATGTCAAAAATGCTTTTGCCCAGCCAATTATCCACTGTGTCCTTCGCCTTATACATTTACATTCGGCCACTGGTTTTCACTTCCTCTTGGACATTGTTTTGGATTGTATCTGTGAGCTTTGTTTTTCTACTGGGATTTAAAGAACTGAAACAATAGGTTGTTGCAAATGCACAATGAATAGTAAACAAACATCCAAACATTGCTTTCCCTTTTCTCCCGCTCTCTCTCTTTTTATCAATGTTTCATTGTTTCAAGTAGAGAAGTGCATTGTATTTTATCTGCATCATAAATAATGGTGAATTGGCAAAGCAATTGAGGCAACATTTATATAAACAAGAGAGTCAATATTTATTATCAAAACTCTGTTTATCTCCCTCTCAACATCATTTGGTCTGTTTTATTGACATGACAAACAATTTTACATTTGTATTGCCAAATTGTCTGCAGCTTAGCAAAATAGCATAAAAATAAAAAACAGAAAAAGTTTATTTTGTTAAATATATATATATATATAAGAAATTAATACTTTTATTCAGCAAAGATGCATTTAATTTGTCAAAGGTGACAGTAATGACATTTATAATGTTACAAACATTTCTTCTTATAAAAGTGATGTTCTTCTGAACTTTCTATCCACCAAAGAAAACAGCACAGCTGTTTTCAACATTGATTATAATAAGCAAAGTTTCTTGAGCAGCAATTCATCATATTAAAATGATTTCTGAAGGATCATGTGACACTGAAGAGTGGAGTAATGATGCTGAAAATTCAGCTTTGCATCACAGGAATACATTACATGGTTACAAATGATACTGAAAATTCAGCTTTGCATCACAGGAATACATTACATGGTTACATTTTTTTCTCGATTGCTAATCTCAAAACTATATACCAACTTGTGCAAACTTCAAACTTGCAGGTCAAAATCAAATAGTTTAGTCAAAAACATGTTCTCTTTTGTCAGACTCAAACTTTGGCCTCAGATGAAACATAAACCTGTCAAATACAAAGACTATTTTCCTGCCTAGAGAACACTAGTGAGATCAATTCAAAATAGAGGGACATAAATAGAGGGATGCAGATAGTCAAATTCAGCATTAAACTGTAAGAAAAGTTTACTTTCATTACACTACTGTAAAGAGATCTTACAGTAGATGAAAAGCATTAGAAGAGAAAAGTAAAAAAAAAAATACTGTAAACACACATTGGAATATACTGTCAGTTACTGTAAATACAGTTTTTCTCAATTGCTAACACACTATAACTGATTCGTTTGGTACAGTTTTCCAAACCATTCATACAGTTCCTAAAACAAAGACACGTTTCTCAAAACTTTTAACACATTTCACCTGTTTTCACACACGCTCCAATTTGCTCAGTGTTTTCAGCTAAACTCTACACAAGAACGGCATCATTTTGCACAGGTTTAACCATGTTCTCATTTAGAAAACACAAACTCACAATCTTAACTACCTCAAGAATCACAAAATGAACACAAATAGCACACATTTATCCATGTGTGAACATTAA